TTTTCCCAAATACCCAACAATGCAAACAGGAAACTCTCATCATGAAGATACCAGCTTCTACCACGCTGTCCATGTCAAATACTTAATGGAGCCAAGCAGAATTCAGCTCATGCTCACAGGAACTGATCGTGGTCCCTTATCTTGAAATAAATATATGGAAACTAAACTTACGGGAGTACTGAACAAATTCTGAGCTGTCTGGATAGCCTTTCGCTATGTTTTTGGATGTGATTGGCTGCAGTGTGGACATTCTCCTGTAAAAGAAAATGCACTTTTATATTCAGTTAAGATGATGTAGAAATTGTCCAGCCCAGTGCCAAGTTTTGCCTATCTTTTCCCTGCAAGACGCAGGTCTGACTGTGCTTTCTAATTCTGGAAAAAAAATGGACTGCTTCCTGTAAAGAGTTATTACTTCCAAGGAAAGAGACATTGAACTGATTTGATCAGTAGAGCAGTGCATAAGAAATTGCTTTTAAAGCCAAGTATGCTGTTATGAATCTAAGCTTCTCTTTCAGGTCACTATTTTAATTTCAATGTTAATGGACTAGGTTATGTTGCTCTTTAGGAGATGTAAGGGTTTCAATGGCCTCAGATTGTTTTAGTAACCATAATGAAGTAAGAAGCTTATGATCAAAGAGCATTATTCATCTTATTAATTGTCATATTTAATGGCATTACTGATTAAACAATTTATAAGCCAACTGGGAAACCACACCTGTCTTGGTACACAAAAAGCCACATTTTAAATCAAAGCAACAGAGGACAGAAAAATCCTACCCTTTCATCCTGCACTCAAGCATGATGCAATGATTAGGTAAGGGTAACTTTCTTATTTCTATTTGGGGCTGATATATCTTTTCCCATTTCAGTTAAGAAAGTCTTGGAAGCTAAGTATAGGATCTCATTTTCCTTGCTCTAAGTCAGCACTTTGTTTTGTCTTCTAACCATGACTCTGTACTGAGATTCCTGCCTTCCTACATTTGGTTTGAGAGACCTGAAGACATCTGTGAATCCTCTTGGACCCAAGGATGACTCCAGCCTGTATCATCCTCCCTTAGTAATGGGAAGCCAGTGTACAGCCCAAACTTCTGACATTACAGCCCAGAATGTTGTGACAGACAAACCGGGCAACCAGATGTGTGAAGGAAGTTCTAGGTGATGTGTTCCTACTACATTGATGGCAGGTAAATATTGTAAAGTGCAATCTCCTGCTCAGATGATGGAGAAATGGTCACTTATATCTCCTGTTAGCATAACACAAATTGAAAGGGTCATGCTCTTTCCCTCATTATCCCAATCTAGGTCCTAAAGTGTGCAAAGGAACGTATGCAATCCAAGATACATCCACACATGTGAAGTGAACCAAATAAAATATACATATATAATTTCCTTTTTCTTCTCTAGTGGAAATAATCTTAGAGTTTATGAACAAGCACAAATTAATTTCAAACCTACCTTATGTGTTTCCTTTCCTATCCCACCTGGAAAATGTGCACTGGTTAATTTTTTGACTCAAATGGCAGTATTTCGTGTCTGTTTCTTCTTCCACACAGAAATGGGTTAGCATCTCTTTAAAGAGATACTTGCACTAAATGGACAGTGTTCTAAGATTAAGATATTGCTACTTTGAATTTAAAAATCAGCAACCTTTATTCAGTCCTGAATGTAAATGAAACAATGCAAATTTTAGTTATGTGCATATTTATCGTTTTTTTTTTTCTTTAGATTTCTGTCTCATTCAGTGCACAAAATGCATAACATTCCCTAAAAGTGGAATTTATCTCACCTAGTTTTAGAAGTTTGAGATGTTCCTCTTGGCTTTCTTTCAGGAAGAGATCATAGAATCATAGAATGCTTAAGGTTGGAAGGGACCTCATAGGCCATCTAGTCCAACTGCCCTGCTCACGCAGGGTCATAGGTACTGCCCAATATTGTTTTGGCCTGTCCTTAGCAAGGTTCAAGATAGATGGGATGAACGATAGTTCCTAGAGGCTCCAGTCTTCCTCTAGGAAGCCTAGAGGCTCCAGTCTTCCTCTGGAAGCCTCCAAGAAGGAGGCTTCCTCCTTCCAAGAAGGAAACTGAAACAACCTGCTTACAGCAGACAGCTCATTTTAGACAAAGAAAATGAGGTGAGACACGTGTCATCCTTGACAAATAGTTCTTCTTTGTCTGCTCTGTGGGCTGATGCCGGATTTACTGCAATGACACTGAAATCCTTCTGCAGCTGAACTATACGTTGCCTCTTGGTTTTGGTTGGCTATAGAGTATGTCAGAGTGGGAGTCATTTCAGCTAACTTTGGACCCCTAGCTTTACATAGAGCCTGCACATCCTATATTCTCTTTATGTCAATGGAGAGGCACATGGACTTTTGGCACTTCTTCCAGCGTGAGATGAATGTCTCCCTAGAAACTCTTGTATTCAATTCTGTATGGCTAACTGAATGAGAGTCTGTATGATTATTCTGCCTACAGAGCTGACATTTACCCAGAAGAGACCCATCTTAAGTGTGCCATCAACTTGAATTAGTTTGTTTCATAGCTCCCTCTAAAGACAGTGGAGGCCATATCTGTGTTTGGCACAGAATGCATTCATGAATTGAGTAAGAGAAAAGTTCTTACTGGTTTGAGGTGTGTAGTCTGGTATGTCCAGGGCTTAATGCTTCTGTGGATTTACATAGCACTTGAACTTTGCAAAGAACAACCTTCGTTTTCTAACTAAAAATATATGAAGAAATTCACTGGTCCTCAGTCGGAATAAAAAGATTCTACTGTGATTTACCTGTGTTCTTTGTGAGTGCGAAGTGTTCTTAGTATTGCAGGTTCTGCTTGCAGAAGAATTTTAGGAGCTGTGCATGTGTTTTATTATGTTATTTAGATTTTCTCTCTAATTTGCATGTTGTTTGGAGGTTTCAGCAAATAAAAGATACTGGCTTACCAGACTCACGATTTGTCTGAACACCCTAACAGTTTCTCGTGATGGCTTGAGTTCTCAGAGAAGGATCAGAGTACCTGTGGGGTCTGAGCAAATGATGGGAAGGCCATTTTTGTCATTGCAATTTGCACCTGTTGAGCTGAACAGTTCTCCATGGCTTGAGGAGCTTGACAGCAGGACACTATGCTGAGGCTTGGGCAGCATTCCAGCATCACCATCCACAAGTTATCATCTCTTGTGAGTGGCTAACAAGCCTCCTTGCCAGTCATGTGGTTTCATCTCAGTAATAACACTCAAGTGCCTTCCTTCACATTTCTGTGGCGATTGTAGCTGGCGTGGATGAAAAATATGTATAGCATGTACTAAAATGACTTGTGGGAGAGCTTATATGGACAGGTCATACTGTTTTTTTATATGACAGCCAGCAGGGAGCTTTCATGTTCTGGTAGATTCTATTAGGAACAATTTACGGATGCAATCATGGCTGATTACCGTATATCAGACAGATGTATCACTAGAGTTGCTGCAGAGGTCATTACGAGGCGGAGCCATGAGGCCCTGGGGTATCTTAACCACCTTATTTGCCCTCTTGAATGTCCAGTAATAGCTGAAAATAAAGTGGTCAGGAGGGAAAAGCTGTAGACAGCTAGGAAAGTTACTGTAATACAAAAGGCCTCAACTTGGCACCAGGCAGCCATTTCTGTCTTTGCAGACAATTAAGACTTTATTTCTTCAAAAAGAGGAAAAAACACTGTGATTGAAGTTCATGTTTTACTTGCTCCCTGCTGCTGCATCTTGCTTTGTCTTGCTGTGGCCTGGCCCTCACAGGTTTTTATTCTTATAAATAATTACAAATAATATCATTAGATGGGCACCTTTTCCTGTTGCTGTGGTTATCAAGCTATACGATGGCATTCACTCTGAAGTTGTTAGAGCTTCAGAAAGGCAGCTGAGAAAAGCAAGGTTCTTCTCTTAAGACCTAGCTTTACCACACAAAAATTTGTATCTACCCAAGAAGATTTATAGGAGACTACTAACTAAACAAAGTTAAAACTACTGCCCTAGTTGAAAATCAATTTCCCAGAATAAACCATTCTATTATCAAAAGTTTTATGGGCTGTAATTACATCCACTGGAGTTAATATGTATAATGTGTAAGGGCAAGTAGAGATAGGAATAGCCCAAATAAAAGAAAAATACAGGTTCTGTGTCTAGTCCCACTCCACCTGGGAGTGCCTTTGCTGCTAAATCCCCAGTGTATCTGGATCTGGGTGTACTTACTAATCTAGATGCAAATCCCAAGAGCTCATTTGGACCTCAAGGTGTGACAGTTGCAGTCGCACAGTAGCGGACCTCGTGGACCTAGGTAAGTTCATGGACACAGGTGGAGATCCATAGTGTGGATGCTTTCTGCCTGGCCCTGGCAGGGTTCAGTAGCTGGGACTTCGTGCCATCCAAACACGAGTTAGCTGTGGCTGGGTCCACATCAGCACTGGAGATGCAGTGGCCCATTTGCATGGCAGGCACTTTAGCTAACAAACCCTGTCAGAATGAGATGACCTTGACAGAAATGTTTGCAACTGAGATAAACAGCTCATGATTATAATGAGTAGACCAGGTTAGGTCTAAATAGAATTGAGATGGTATGAAGATTGTGTGTAGATAAGGGTCTTGGACTGTGTGTTTTCTGTAAATGTTTCTGTCTTCGCCTGTGCTGTTTCTTTTTCTACCTTATCTGAGCATCTGAGGCATTAGCAAACTAAACAGTTTTCAAGATGCCAGAACAATGCAAACAAAAGTTATCATTGATGTCGGGGGAAACCTATCCTGATCTCTCCATAATCTGTTACAATTTGACTTTATGCTTGGCCTTGTTTTTTTCATCTGTGCAGATTAGACCCTATTAGAATTTTGTTCCGTCTTTGCCAGGCAAGAACAAGGTTAATTTCTGGAGAGCTTCTATGGGCTAAGATACCTACCTGAGTATGGATTAAGACATGCCACATTGCTCAAATTTTTATATTGCAGCCTGATCGATGTCTCATGTTTACACTTTTGTTATGGGCAGGATTTGACCTGATGGATTCGTTCAGTGTGAGACAAATTTTTGGAATGAAAGAAAGAGGAATTCAGAGCTCTTACGTGCGACTTGGAAGCTTCCCCATTGTTCAGAAAACTGAGTGAGTACCTGATCTTATCTTTTGTCTGAACCTCTGATTTAGCTCTATTTTCTGACCTCTATTACTTAGTTCTTTTAAGTTAACCTTGAAGTAGTTACCCAGTACGTGTGCCACCACAACGAGCACACATGTATTCTGCTGTTTTCATCTGTTCTTTCAATTCTTCTGGCATAAAATTTAGACAAGGTGCCTGTGCACTTGCTTCACTTTCCATGCTGCTCAGTGAATCAGCTTGTTTTGGTACATCTCAGTTGTTTTGAAGAGCTGTATTAACACATTCACATATACAAAAAAAATCTTAAGGTAAAGCACCTAAAAGGCCACTAAAAGGAATATTTGCTAGCACTCCCATTGAAATACATAGTTGCTAATCGCAATCTATTTCCCACTAGAAGATGTTATAATTTTGCTAATACATTTTTTTGGCTTCCTAAAGGAATGAGCAATTGTTAATCTTGTGTCAACATGGATTCAGTCCATTATAACCTGAGGCTGCCAGCTGTATCTTAGTCTATCAGAGCAGTTTCTCTTCAAGTTGTCATTTGAATCCTGCTAACATTAGCCTTGAAAAGACTGAGTGCATAATTTCACTGTGTAATCATGACGATAGATTGAATTGTCATCATTAATATTTTTGCAGTAAATTTCACTATGGTAGTTTTGAACTTCAGCTTGAAAATCAATAGTAATTCTTTTCCTTCTTATGGATGAGTGCTGTTATATTTTATTCTGTTTCGGCTCTTCTACTCAGTCTGCTGCATCTTTCAGATAGTACTGTGATTTGCATTTGCTTGAATTCACATTATTTTTTCATCCTGGAGCTGACCTGGATTGATTTGCCATTCTCTCTTCCACCTCCCTCTCTATATAAGCATACAGTCTTTAGGAGAAAAAAAAAAGTATAAATATGATATGTTGAAGAGAAAACTGTTTGCTTTAAAATCCATAAATGATGTCAAGTCTCAGGGTAAGTAAATTCATGATCTAAGAGAAGGCCAGCAAACTAAAGACACTTCGCTCTTGATAAGAAGCATATAGAATCCAGGGCATGCAGTGAGAGGAGAAAAACGATGTTTTACTCACAGCAGCCTCTGGGCATGACTCCTGCTTGGTGTGGCTTGTATAGCTAGTGGTACTGTGCTTTATCACTGGAGAGGGTTATCACTAGGAGTATTCAGGAAAAAGCCCTTGAAGAAGGAAGGTCCGGTTTGTACTTTAAGAAATCTGGGAGTGCTGAATCTGAACTCTGCGAGATGTTGGACTAATGTAGTCCTTGAGTGTATAAGTAAAAAATGAAATACTATAAACAGATTTCTTTGATACTGAGGAAATCTGTTGCTGCTGCTGTGCTACTGCATCCAGTCCTTGTGTGCATAATTCAGTAGATAAGAATGAAGTGTATGAAATGTTAAGCATCTGGAAATGTGGCTAGTAGGGAAAGACTCAGAAAGCTCTATGTAGTCAGATAAAATAGGAAGAGGTTAACAACTGAGGTGATCATTGTTTATAAAAACTGATAGGGAATCTTAAATTTCTTAAAGGATTCCCTAAAAGGAAGAGTCTTAAATATGATGAACAGAAGTAAACTAAAAGTCATTAGCTACCTGTTAAAAACAAAAACCATAATGGAAGAAAGGCATGTATTTTTAACAATGAAGATAATTAATCACTAGAATGAGTTAGCATGGATTGTAGTGAGTTATCTTCTTGTATTCCTTTTTAAAATTAAGACTTTAAGTACTTTGTTGTTATTGCTGTTGCTATTTTCCCAGAAAGACTGAGGAAGAAAAGCCAGACCAACCAGCCATAATGGCTTTCATTCTGCTTGAATTGTTGATGTTGTTTTTAAAATATGGAGAATATTTTGTTGCCAAAGACAATTAGAATTAAAACATACTAAATTAGTAAACTGAAATGACTAAGCTTCCTTTTAAATGATTAACTAAAAGACAAAATTTTGGAGTGGAATGTTGCTATAGAAGGTGATTATAAATTTGGTCCTTTTCATCTTTTGGATATCAAGATTCTTTAATGATGCACATAGGGCCATTGTTCACAGAAAATGAAATCATATAGAGCTGCACAAAACCGATAACTGAAATATTTAACAAAACAAAAGCATCTGTCCTTTCCTGCAAACAACCTGAAGCAATATTTAACATCTCATAACAGCAACATCTCATAATTAGATACAAAATCATTAACTAATATGTTCAGTTTGCTTTATTATGCATCCAGCGTATGCATCCAAAGTGAATGGCTTTATATAAGCACTAGTTCTTGTACCAAGTGCCAGGTTAGTGGCCCAGGAAATGTACCTATTCGTCTTCTGAATCTGGAGCCTACATCTACAATCCATTAAACAACAGCCAAGAATGTAGTCAAAATGAGTCTCCAAGGAACTGGCAGGTTCCTCTAGGTAACCGAGGACAGTCTACAAGGCTGCCTGGAAATTTTCCTCCCTCCTCAGATAAGTGAAGCTATCCTACCATTTCCTTTCAGCTCCTCAGTGTCCACAGGTGTGTTTCAGGATTTTGCTTCTGGGTCCTTGGACTTGTCTCGGCCCACTGTTACTTTGATTAGTGCAACCAAGTGAGGCACTTTCTGCCTTACTATCCTGCTGTCTTTTCCACCTATTTCTCTGCGTCTGGAACCTTTGTCCTGTTGTGTCCACTTCTAGATCTCCTCTTCAACAGCTTGCCTGACCTGATCCCAGATTGCCTTGTTCCTCATCCCATCTTCCACCTCACAGAAATTACTGATACTTTGCCTGACCTCTGATTTTCATCTGCTTCCTCTTTTTATTGGAACAGTGTTGTATTCTCTGAATCTTCCTTGTTCTTGAGTATGTATGCCTTGGAATGCTGGTCTGGAGACTCAATTTATCTTTCGATTTACCTTTGAACTTACCTCAGTTTACCTTTCACTTCAGTTACCTGCCTTGGGTTTCCTCATGAGGTCCTCTCTGGGTCTAATGACTCCATCTGCTCCACAGGGAAGAAAGTTCTACCAAGAACTGCCAGAAAACACAGAGACTGAATGGGAAATCTGTTTAATTCAGAACTGGAGGATGCTGGACCCTCTCCCCCACTCTCTGCCTACCCAGTCTTTCCCTTTTTCCCTCTCCTCCCCAGGTCAGATGCAGCTGACAAGCCTGATCTGTGACACTTCCCAAAGTTTTCTGTGTTGCCACACAGAAAAAAGCCAAGATACTGTGAGTTTAGCTGAACTGAGCTCACGCCTAGACAATCATCTTTGACCGTTATTTTCCAGGATAAGTAGAAATACTGAGCCTCCTTCCTCAGAACAAGGAGAATATGCATGACTGAGGTGGAATGATGAAAGACTTTATTAGTCTTCTAGAACATAAAAGATTGAAGGGAGAGCCAGTAGTCATAGTGAAGAGAGAGAGAAATTTGTTCCCATATTTCTTTGTGGGAAAAGCTGTTTGAGGAGCCTTAAACTGAGGAAAAGGTGACCTAGGATAGACTTTTGAAGGAGTGCTATGGATAATGAAACACTGGAAAAAAAATTCCGAGAGAGGATGTCATCCAGGTTTTGAGTTTGAGATCAAGGAAGTATCTGCCAAGAATGTATGTTAAGGGTTGATGCTGTGTTGCTACAGGACTTTGAAGGGAAATCTTTCCTAGCCTTTCCAATTTTTCCCTTGTTTTTCTTATTTTCTCTAGCTTTGTTGGACAGATCTTAGTGAATGACATTGGCGAGTAGCAGCTTTTAGCCATTTTGAAAATGGTCACATGTTGAATCAATGACAAACCAATAGGGATTTTCTCTTTGCTTCTAGACTTTTATTTCTTATTAATGTTGTCCCTTCCTCATTGAATGCAAGCACCCTATGAATTGTTTTTATATTTAGTAACTGAAATAAGAAGAGACGATATAATTTTTCTTCAGTATATTATTATTCTTTTGAATTGTGACTGTATTATTATTACAGATGAAAGATCTCATGCTGCTTATTAGAGATGTAGGCTCTTATGCCAAACAAAAGCATGTAAGAAGGTGGCTATATCCTGGAAATAGGCAGCTGTTAAGAGAGTTTCCTGCCTTCTTTTCACCTTTTTTCTTTTTTAATGTTGTGACTGCCCTGATTTTGGGGCTAGATTAATTAATACTAAGCTGAAGCATGGTGAGGAGGGTCTCCTGTCTTGGGGTTTTATAATAGGCTATTGTGCAATCCATCCTGTTTTCCAAATTATACACTGAGGAGCCAGCAAAGAGTTTACTGTAGGTACCATACACCCAGAAAAGCTCTTGAGAAACATGGACCTTCAGCTCATTTCAGCCTTGGGTGAGCAGAGGGAAATAAAACATTTCTGGATATAGCAATTGCTGCCCTTGAGTTTCTAAGTACAGCTAAGCCTCCAGATGGAGATCACTTTTTGGCAAGGAAATAAATGAAAACTCATAAACAGAGCTGTTTTTATTTATGTGGTAATGCAGCTCCACAATAGATGCAATGGCCAAGGACTTTAGAAAGAGTTTTTATCGTATCGTCAGAGCAACAAGAATGCCTTTATATTTGCTTTGGGTACTTTCTCTGTCTGGGACTTGCAGTCTGTTCTTCAGCACCTTTAAAATCAGTTGAGGGTGACAGGTAATAGGACATTATAGCTTTCTATCAGTTTAAATCTATGTGATGGGCCATTTGTCAGCCTCTGTGTTGATGAGGTGTGGCCAGACCCACAAGGATATTTAGGTACCTAACTCATGGTTATTTCTGTGGGCATTAAGCATCCAAAAGGCTTTTCTGAAATTGAGCTTGCATGACTGTGTGTCTGTTACCAACTCAGAGATACCAGTAATTCTGCACAGGCTGTCTTAGCATAGAGGCCCGCAATTGTTTCTTCTGGATCTGGACAGAGATATCAGGCCCCAAATCAGTTTTGACATCAACAGAAGAGATTAACTTAACCTCATGCTTCTATACCTCCCTGCTCAGTAGAGCATTAATGCCACTGCCTGTAATTCACAATTATAAAGAAGCATATCTGCATTTGCAGAGCTGAAAAAATGTTAGCAAAATGTAGCATTGAAAGCAAATGTGCTATGGATCAAGAAGTTGGTTAAGCATCCCAAGAACTGTCACTCTGCTGCCTTGTGCCATCACTGGATTAACCATGGAATCGTTCTTTCCATGGCTTTTCATGGTGATGGTGGCTTGTAGTTTGGAGACGTAAATGAATGGGGCTGTCTGTGCCCAGAATGCAAGTCAGGATCTAAAGGACTGGGTGGAGAGTGAATTCACTAAACACAGTGAAACTGGATTGCTTCCTGATGCTCCCAGCTGCAAGAAAGGGCACTTCACCCATCAGAATGATTTAGGGTGCCAAATTGCAAGTGGAGTATATGGAGGTTGCAGCAACGGGGCTCTCAGACTGACAGATGGAGAAGGAAAGGCAGCAAGGAGGCAAGAGAAGAAGAGGCAAAGCCTGGGCATAAAATGAAGCATCTGGCAGGGAGGAACAGACAGGGAGAAGATGACTGTAGGGAGACCTGAGGTAACTGCTGTTTGGAGAATAAGTTGTGACTGTGAAGGTACGTGGTGAGAGGTGAATGAATGAAGATAAACACATTAGGATTTTATGCTGAAATGGCAGTGTTTTAGGAGCTGAACCACAGAGGAACCCCCCACTGCTAGCACTTGTGTAAAAAAGTCCATGGTTCTTACTGAAGAGGAGAGAGTCATTAAGTAAAGTCTTTCTAACCATTGACATGACTGCCTTCAGCAATGCTGAGTTTTTTTTATGGAATGAAGGAAGACAGTCCAGTTTGTCAGTGACTTTAGAAGCCTAGACATGCCCTTCCTCTCAAATTTACACAAAAAAAAAAAAAAAAAAAAAAAAAAAAAAAGAATGTATGAAGCCAGGCAGCCTCTCAAAATGTACTTTGCACTGAGACATGTTAAAGGAAAGGTGCCCTGTTGGGGGAACCGATACGACCAACTTGTCTGCCTCTTGCCAAAAATCCCCTTGTCTTTTTCGGTGGCTTTCGCTGCCATAGTCGTGCTGGATGTGTTCTCCATGGCAGCTGTGCCACCAGAGTGACAACCAGAAGGCCTCTGTTTTTGTCACTACGGCAGAGACAGTCTAACTATTTTGTGTGCCACGAGGAAGATGGATACTGATGTGCAGCGGATCTGTGATCGGAGAGGGATGGTTTGTGAGTATCTTACAGCAAGAAGTGAAAGCACCTTGACTGCCCATCTAAGTGAGGAATTTTTTGAAGGTGCTAGTGGGAGCCTGATTCAGATTTCTCTTGTGTTGGAAGAATTTAGAGGACACTTGTGTCTTCCCAGGGAAGAGCAGGTTATAATGGCGTGTAGCCTTTCCGGATGTTATTTATATGTATGTGGTATACATGTGAGGTGTGAGAGTGTGTATATATGCACACACATATATTATGTGTGTGTATGTGTATATGCATATAAATATATGTAAATATATGCAGTGTAAAGCATAATCATTTGATTCATTGACTTGATTAAAAAGTCAGGAAATAGAAAGCACGTTAAAAAAAATGACTGCATATTTTGCCATCAAATAAAAATGGCTCTAAGTCTTCGCTGCAAATGCAAAACAAAATATTTTGGAGATTTTACAGAATATGATTTTTGTTTTAAACTCCAGGAGATGCCTCCACTTTTGTGTGCCTCTGAGTTCTGGCAATGAACTCCAGTGCCAGTTTCTAGGTAGTATTGGATGATGTCATGTGTTCCATAAGAAAATTTTCATTTGCTGTTTTGTTCTTTTTTTAGTTCCTTAACAAATGATGTTGTGGATGCCATAGGTTTATCTGAGTTCAAGGAAGTCAATGAATGGAGAATAGAAAGGTCCATGCAAGAAACAACCACAGAGTTATGAAAGCTGACTGCTTTAGTTGTCTCTCAGTTTGACCCCTGAATCATAAAGAGCTGGAGCCTAGGGGAAACATGTTTGTTCTGTCTTCATTCCTAGACATTCAGTTATGGTCAGTGACAAACCTCCCGATGGGTATTGGGTTAGACGTATCTTCTATCCAAATGCCTATGCTCATTGTCATGTTATGTTCTAATGTTGAGCTGAGTCAAACGAGCTGCTCTCTTTGGTTACTTCAATCGTAAGCATAGATCATTGTGTCACACTGAGTAAATCTCTGATGAATGTGTTGTGAAGTGTGATTTGAGAAGATTCTTCTGTTCTTCCGACATCAAGAGATGTTGCCTTGGGCAAGCTTGAGGCATTGCATTTGTTTTGGGGAAGAAACATTCCAGTAACTAGTGTTGTAACTTGGTACACTAACAGAGGGCTTCAGATGTGCCATCTGGAAAAGAAACAGAATGCTTTATAGGCAGCATAGACTGAAACTCAGATGAAAACCAGCTTTTTACATGATGGATCCCAAATTTCCAATTTTCCTTACTAATTACTTAACTTGAGTGCTTCTCCACTGGAGCTGGGAAAGGCTCCTCATGGACAGAGCCACTTTGAGGGAACAAGCTTATGTTGATCGCACTGCAGGTTTCCAGATCAGCACAGTTTGTAAGGAATGATGTAATGCTTTTGGAAAGCATTGCTGGGACATTCAGAGGGTTTTGTTAGAAATCCCGCTTTTCACTGTTAAGCCTGTTATATTGCTCTCTTTTTCCTTCTCCATGCCAGGGATGTGTTCCCACAAGGTCTGCCTGATGAATATGCCTTTGTAACTACCTTCAAATTCCGAAAGGCTTCCAGGAGAGAAGACTGGTATATTTGGCAAATTATTGACAAGTACGGCATACCACAGGTACAAAGCTCTTTGCAGCCAGCAAGAGAAGCCTTTTTTATATTTTTTCTCCCATTTATTGCATGAACACACCTTCTTGCCTTAAGCTACCATTACATTTTCCTTGTGGACTAATGAAAATCTCTTTGCCTGACTTTCTTTCAATATTTTGTGCTGAAAGACCTTTACCTTTAATTCAACCCCTGCAGGAAGGTTTTCTTAGACCCTGCTTGTTGTCAGCATGCAGTTAGAGATGTTAGCTGGGAAGAGTGGAGAAGATCTACCGTCCTTGCTCTTAAAATACTTCTCTGGGTTTTCAGTTGTTTTATTTGTGTAGTTCTGTTTAGAGAAAATACTTTATCTGTTTAGAGAGAGACACCCACCCAAGAAGACCACAGGCCACGAGAGCAAAGAGCTATTTCCTGTTTTAACAGCGATTTTTTAGATATGGGGAGGCATTATGCATTCCCCATTTAGAATGGGAACACAACATCTGTTACAACTGTTACACCTCCAAGAGAAGAATCCAGTCCAGTACTATTTGTAAAGTAGCCTCAGATTCTCAGAAGGAAGATACCACAACAGTGCAATAAAGGTCTTCTTGTTCCTATAGAGCACTGTTTGCAACACACTCTAATTTAAGGGGGTGCATATATTTGGAGAGCAGGGTGATTTACTTTGACTGCATGTTTTGCTGCCTGATACAAAAGTGGTACTTATAACATTACCATGACTCTAAAACAGTCTGACTTGGTCCTGTTATGCAGTATTACTGCTTTGGGACTAATTCTCCAAGGGACTCTAGGAACTTGCAGCAGGAAGGTGGGTGCAGTATGAGAACTTGGCTAACTGAGTCTCAGACAATGGCAAAAGGCTAATCTGAAGAATATTTTGTCAAAATATTTTCCAAATAATAATTTAATTTGGGGTTATCATGTGGGGAATCAATCTAGACTGGAGGCAGGCAATAGAAGGGATGAAGAGGCCATACATTTCATTAGCAAAGTAATTTCTGTCTCTTCACAGGTCTCGATCCGACTGGATGGGGAGAACAAGGCAGTAGAGTACAATGCCGTAGGGCTCACCAAGGATGCTGTGAGGGTGGTCTTTCGAAGCACTCGAGTCAGTGATCTTTTTGACCGCAGCTGGCATAAAATCGCCCTCAGCATTCAGTCAGATGCTGTCACCCTTTACATAGATTGCAGACTGGTGCAGACACTGCCTATAGAAGACAGGGAAAATATCGACATTCAAGGAAAGACTGTGATTGGCAAACGCTTGTATGATAGCGTTCCCATTGACGTAAGTACTGTGTGTGCTGACTAGAGCTGGGCTGAAGTTCAGCACTGGGCTTGCAGCCCCCCCCCCCTTTTTTTTTTTTAAATGTGATATTGTAATTGCCTCTTTCCTTAAGCAGCATCACCTACTGAAATGTTACATGCATCATTTAGTTAAGAGATCTGCATCTCATTACACAAAAGACATTGTCATTTTATATGATAATGTTTTCTGTTGATCCCTCTGTAGTAGGGGTTAAAAATGAGAAAAACCTTTAATCATTCTGATCTTTTTCTGTAGTCCCAGATTGCGTCATAATTAAAGCCAGAGACAGTGTCATTCACAAATACCAGCGAACTGAGTACTGAATTACACATGTAAAGGTCTTTTCTTGTTTGATCTTGACACTGTGAAGGTTTTCACGTGGCAGTGACAGATGGGAAAAAAAGAGAACTTTTTAACTCAGAAGAGAAATGACATGAGATAATCTCAAGTCCTCAGAGAATATCCTGGTATTAAGAGACTTCTGCTACAGTTGATCTTAACCTGAAGGTTAAGATCTGCACTTTGGACCAGGATTGTCTGGTAGCAGTGTTAACCTGGTATAACTGTATGGAAGTTATAAAATGCATGTTTTTGTGGTGTTTTGAGACTTGTGTAATCTTTCTTAGATGCACCAAATAGATGGAACGTTCATATTACTGGCAGCAATATCATTTCTCACACAAGAGTAAATGGTCACAGGGCACAACAGGAGGACAGCAAACCTTATGCCTCGACAAAATTTTTGAAAGGGTGTAGGTGGGCAGAATATATCTTCTTAGGCAGGAATTTGGCTAGGACACATATATCAGCATTCTTCCTTATTTATATGAAAAGCTGCATCAGAATTTTAATAGGTATGTTCAGAGTCTCATGCTCTTGGAGCATGCTGAGATGTTGGTCCATTATTGATATGGAGAAACAGATATTGACTACAGTATTCACAGAATCACTATGAATCTGGCTTTTATTTATTTTCCTCTGCACTGTTTGTAGCCAAACAAAAGGATATGCATTCTTTAATAATTCACTGTCTCTAAGACTATTGTCTCACTTTGTCTTCTAGTTTGATCTGCAGCGGATGGTTATTTACTGTGATTCTCGACATGCTGAGCTGGAAACCTGCTGTGACATTCCCTCTGGACCAGTAAGCTGCTGCTTATTATGAATTCATTTTCACATGAACACTCTTTATTGAAATATATTGCATGAATCAGGGGATGTGCCAGTGTGGATTTGTCATTTTTATAATGATAGTGAATGAGTCTTAAGTATACAACTGATAATACAGCAGTGCCAGAAGATGACCGCACTGAAGAGATGACTCTAAGAGATCTAAGAGATGAAGAATTAGAAATTTCTAAGCCCTTTTTCTATGTCAAACTGTCAGGAGAAACAAATCCTGAAGTGATGACAGAACAACAGAAATTCAGCATGAAATACTCAGCATGTTTCCCACTGTTTTATTGGGGAAGAACTGAAACAGTACCAGTAGCTGCTTATTTTCCTCTGCTTTCAGTAGACACTTCTACCCTCCTTTCTTTCCTTTCCCCTAGATCCTGGTTAAAAAGATTCATTGCTTACTTTGTCATCCTTTTCTCTATTTTTCACAATATGGTTTCTCTAAAGAGGGGAAAAGAGAAAGCTGGGTTTCTGACACTGAAGGCTTCATAATAACCATGAGTGTTTGGGTACAGTGCCAGGTCACGGTCCTGACAGAAGCACCACCCCTTGAAGTGAAGCCCACTGTTGGCAATGAACAAGTTGGCCACCTCAAGACTGTCAATTGCTCCTGTCCAGCTGGAGAAAAGGTGAGAGCTGGGTTTTCTTTGAGGACTGATGGATGAGATGGAAATAGAGGTATGATGCCACATGAGTGAATTGTAAGAAAGCCTGTTTTTGTAGCATTTTAAGACATATTAGTATAAAGCAACCTATAGTGAGAAGCAGGCATTGCATTATTCATGTGTAGTATGTCTTTGGAGAAAACGTTCGTCTTCCCAAGTGTTTTCTTTTTAGTCTAATAATTCTAATAGTTACCACCCCACCTTAATAATGGGGTGGTTTTATTTGCCCCAGGTGACTGCTTCCTTCTACATAAGTATGAGGGGATCCTACTTAATAAGGAGATTCTCCTTAAGTAGTGGGAAGGAGTGTCGGAGGTGAATGGGGCAGTGGTCCATGGTCTTTAAAAATCTGTTTGTGTTGTTTATAAGTAGAACTTTGTGAGGGAGGGGAGAAGGATGTTTTTGTTCTTGAAAGCACATCTTTTACTAATCTGCTAAAACCTGGAAGACCTTCCATTATCTGCTGTGGGGCTGGGTCACTTGCTTTGTTATGTGATGAGAAGACTGACCTGACTAAACCTCTCTTTTTCTTTAGGGAGAGAGGGGCCAAGTTGGTCCTGAAGGTCCTAGAGGTCAAAAGGTCAGTGGTATGTGCTAGTCAATCCCTTTAATAACAAAAATAAGAAGTTTTTAAGGAGTCTTGGGTGCTGAGTAAGCTGAAGGATTTGAGGAAATGAGTGAATTTAGCATATAACTGACTCTAGACTTGCATCACTCTGAAAAAGTGTGGGGGATTCTGTCTTCCCCTGCCCCTCTCCTTTTTTTTTTTTTTTTCCTCCTTACTTTAGAATGTCTTTTGAATTTCTTTATTGCATCTTTATGTCACTTAAAGTAATTGTGTTCTGAAACTCTTCTGTGAACTTCTAAACTGGCTTTTTTTGCAAGCCACTTCTATCTGACAGGTCATGCACAGCTTTCATCATGAGTCACCTGAAAACCTGTGTGTTGCTTCTGTACTATGCCTTGCTCAGCAGTACTAGTTAGCTGTAGGTTAGCTAACAGATTTCTGTATTATCATGCATTATTATCATTTTAAGCTTATTTGACATGTATATGCATACATTTAACACACCTACATTTCCCTTCTGTGCTTGCAGTTATTGCTGTGCAGATAACTGACCTAGAGCAGTACGAGAAGAAAAATGACACTTGTAGGATTGCTGGAGAGGTGCAAGATGGGGACTTCAGTGCTTCCCAGTTTCAACAGTTGTGTGATTTTTTTTTTTTCTTAAAAAAGGGGAGGAGGAGCCATCTTAAATTAGAATTGTTTTTGTCTGAAGCACTTCTGCAAGTTCTGTCCATGTTCATCAATGATTACATTTATATTTGTTTGTTTGAATAAAATAATTTCCCCTCACAAAAAAAAAAAAAAAAAAAAAAAAAAAAAAAAAAAAAAAAAAAAACCACAACAATTATTACTCAAATATCACAGAACACTGGAAGGAGAGATGCAGTCTCTGAGTCTTGTGAGTCTTGGAAGGTCAGACACAGTCAGCGCTGACTTTTTTGATAAGTTTGTTCTTCTGGCTGCAGGGAGAAGTTCCGAATTATGAGGGGATGTGTTTTGGGGTATATTTTTGCTAGCAGCACTGAAGAGGAGCCCATTAACACTGAGATATGCTTGCTTCAAGCTGCAGAAGAGTTCTTTTTGCTTCCATGTGTATATAAATAGCAACTTTCTATTTTTATTTGTGACAGTTTAAGTAATGAGGGGCTATTTTGAAGGATGTCAGAGCTGTGGGAGATCATTGAGAGGAGGCTCGAGAAGGGCGATGACGACTACAGTGCAGCAGCTCCTGGTGTCTTTCACTGATGTGTTGAGGTCTGTGCACTGGCAAGGGTGTCTGTGCTGCATATTGTGACAGTGCTAAGCACATCTGTGGACTATGTAATGGTGCGTCTCCAAGCACAGAGTTAAAACCTAAGGTAAACTCCAGCTCTGTGGCTATATGAGCAGCTATATTGTTTCTCTTTCCTGAATACCTTAGGCAGCTTAAATAACAGATCTCTGCTATCAGTTGCCTCATGCTGCAGGTGGATGACTGAATGGCTATGCAGAATTTTGAGTGACTCCTTGACCTTAGTTTTCCATGACTTCTATAAAGCCAAGTCAGGACTGTGTCCTAGGCTCCAAGAGGTGGCAAGGAGACAATTCAAGTCCACACTTTAACAGTGATTTGCTGCAAACAGCCGATGACTTGAGACAAATAGCTTCTCTATCTGCCAAATAAAGCAAATAATGTTTCTTTCCTGACTAGCAGAGATGCTGTGATTAAGTAATGTATAACACTCTTGAGAGGAGTTCTCACATAGCTTTGCTGACTGCCATGGCCCTACTCCACGTGCAAAGAATTACCTTGTTCCTCCTCTTTGTTCTTGAAGCATCACTGGGTTACCCATGCTGAAATACTGGCCACTGGGAGGAAAGCAGAAGCTTTTCCCACTATTAGCAGCTGGTCCTTTATTACGGAAAGACTGCTCCACAAAAAAATGACTTTTACATTATGTTTTTTAAATATTAGTAATTTGTTTTAGGTTTGTTCATTTTGTCTCTTTGTTATGCATCAAGGGTTGTATACTTTAATTTTTTTTTTGTGCAAGGAGGCTTGTTGAACTTTTTGGAGACTTAGAAGAAAGTATTAAGGGTTTTCACTGGTTACATGAATCTAAGAACTAGTCCTTCAACACATGCTCAAAATAAATTACACATTACGAACAACTGCTGAGGTTTGATTAAAACATGCTAGGATGTGAGTGCCACATAAAAAAACACCATACAGTAGTTGACTAGGAAGAGAAGTAGGAGTAAATTACTGAGTAAGAAAATAAATCCTCTGGAACAGGTGGAAAATGAGCGACTCCAGGACTCTGAATCAGAAATCATGATTTTTGCTACAGATGCTGTGACTACTAAGCATATCTTATTTAGGGTCAGTTGCAAGGTTAAAGTTTACCTCTAATTGGGATCTAAGGGATTTTCTCCAAGAAAGGCAGTTTCTCTCTGCCTCCACTGCAGTAGCAGTAGCTGCTGACCTGCTCATCCCATATTGAAGGGTGTCCTGCAGGAGATCTAGTCAATGACTGCCACAGTAGCTTTATTGTTTTCTGGGACTGAAGACAGACTAGGCTCTAGACTCTGGTATGAGGGTAAGCCTTTCCTATGATACTGTCTGACTTGGAGGGGAAAATATATATATATATATATATATATATATATATATAAATATATATATAGTGTGGGAAGTTAACAAGTTGCTATTCCTTGCTAATTTAAATCTCCAAACCCAGAGTGAAATAGATACTCTTTCAGTTATTAGAGAGAAAAATCCCCCACAAATGAAGCCCTCTACCTCAATTATCCATGCTGCTAAATTGAGGGTAACACATAACACAACATATACATTTTAGAAGGAGCTACAGTAAAGGAAGCTACTGGGGGGGAAGTGAAGCAGGAAATATCCTGGGAAGAACTGCCAAATGTACCTGAACCTAGGTCTTATAACTAAATATTAGATGCTAAAAAATTAGCAATCTGGTCTAATTTATTTTCCTCCAAAGCACATCATGCTTGCTGTGTTGTTTAGAGGCAGACATGCTAGTTGGTTGGGCTTTGGACAGCCAGCCATCAAGCTTCTGCTCTATTTCAGTACTGGTATCAATTTGTGCTCTGAGTTTAGGAAAAAAATTGCTTCTCTGAGAAATTGCTTGCCATTCATATCATAGAAATGATCTTGCCTACCTTCACTTGAGAAGTTTGTGAATACCAGATGTCTCTAGTATAATATCCGTATTATTTTTCTTTCCCAAATAGGAAAGAAGTTTTGTTTGGTCTTAAGCGACCTAAGAGACAGCTGTATAAAACCTGCTATGAACTTTGCTACAGCCTATTAGATTGATTGTGATTTTATTTTTACATATGTGTCACTTGTGAAGACTTTTCCCTTTGGCAAATATGCTAGAGGTTAAGCAAAGAAATTTTTGTCATGCCTCTGATTAAGTCTGTTCTCATCAGGGGAAAAGAAAGCATGATCCTGGACAAAAGCTTGAACATCTGGCATAGCTAAATACATTTTATCGGCACATATCAGGACAAATTCAATTTAGTCCTAAAACTAAATCTACTACTACTGCTGAAGCCCATATGGGGGAGGCTTGGGCAGTGCAGGGGTCATTGAATGTGTTGTTGCTTTTGTGCTTTAGAAATCCTGCTCCAGGTGTGGGACTCTTGGAAATTGTGTCCCCACCAAACCAAGTTATAGCTTCAAAGCAATTTAAGTCACTATAAGCAGAGAAACTAGGAGACAAAAAAAAGATGAGGAAAACACAAAAAAAACAGAGACAGAGTCTTTGTTAGTGATTGATGGGGAGCTCAGCATAGTCTATTTCTGGACTGTTCCTTTGTGTTAGGACCAGGAAGGAGCAAGGAAGGGGATACAGGCAGTGCACTCCGCACCTAGCAGCTCCTGGTGCCAAGGGAATCAAAGCATCTGCAGGCAATACTGAGAATAGCCTTAAATTATGGTTAGTTCAGGGGTATATCCTCAGGTGGCACCCTCTTCCATTACTGCATCTCTGGAGTGGTAAATGAAAATGATTTGCAGATGTTTTCTTGTACTTGTTTTGGAAGTCTCTTGTAGCTCTGTAGCTAATAGATACTTAACAAATGGTTGATCCTCCTTGGCTCTCTATCCTTTCCATCCCTACCCCATGAACTAATTTAGTATTATTATTATTTTCTCCTAGGAACTGAGCGAGAGGAAAGCTTTGGATGGAATTTTTTAATTTCTATTTTTTTTTTTTTTTTTTGCTTTTCCTCTCAGTGTATTGACTTCACCATTCTTCATTCCTCTTTCCATAATTTTACATACACTTTCAGTTTTCCACCATATGCTCTTCTTTCTCTTCCATTTGAATGAGTAGGGAGAGTGACTTTGTTGCACATTTGTGGTAGAACAGGCAGGGATCATCCAGTCATGAAAATCTAGCATGAATGAAAAATCTTTCTTGAAACTAGAATTTTAGAAATAACGTTTAAATCTTGAAGGCTTTTAAATATTTTTTTTTGCATTTTTAGGTATGCACTCTCAAGGTCTTATGCAAACCACTTTTGAATGAGGGTAGTCTTTTCTGGCTTAATAGAAAATAAAGTCTTTTGGGGTACCCAAAAAAGTTCTTTGCCTTGCCAGTGCATCCTGAGAGATTACAGCAGCATTAAAAAAAAAAAAAAAAGATTTTAAAACTTGGACATTAAAATCAATATAAATGCTGTGGAGTCCCCCCCTTAGTTCTGGTAAGAGCTGGAATCTTGTCAGTAGAGACCAGTGGGAAAAGAAATGTCCATAATCCTACCCAAAGTCCCACTGCACCACTTGACAAAGAAAACAAGTCACTCATGAGCTAACAACAAAACGAAGACTAATGTGCAATATCTCTCAAGTGAGGCCAAAGAGGAAGGATAAGAGAAAGTCTTACCTGTTATCTTCATGTTTCTTGGAAGAGGAATTAATTATCTTTGATACAGATATCCCTTCTTTTTCAAGGGAGAAAGTGGCAGCCAAGGACTTCCTGGGCTCCGAGGAGAAAAAGGAGAGTCAGTAAGTAAGAAACATTTGAAAACAAAGTGGTTGTGTGTTGGTGGTCTGTGTGTGTGCTGTGGGTTTTTTTTTCTTTTTTTTTTTTTTCTTTTTGATATTTGTGCACAGAGACTTTTCTTGCAATGCCATATGCTTTGTTGAATATGCATCTATTGCTGCTCATTTATCCCAGGCAGAAGCTGATCTTTCAGGTGCCCAATAGCCTCTCCTGGAGAGGGAAAATGGACAAATTTCTCCATGAATTCAGCTGATAACTGGCCTAGTATTAGCCTTTTAATTAAAATATGTGACTTGGATGTACTGGGTTTTAGCAAAGCTGTTCACTGAACAAGGGCAGTACAACACAATTGCACACAAAGAAGGGGCAAGTCTGTTTAAACTAGTTTGCATTCAGATGAGTGATATCCAGCTTTTCCCAGCAATATAAATGTCAGCCTGGGGTTTTAGGCAAGAACATTTTTAACCCTGTTTAAAATTCAATCTAATTAGGACTATTGGCATCTTTGGTTTTAGAAGCATAATGTTAAACTCCATCCAGAATGGAGAATAGGACATTTTCTGGGGCTGCGAGTTCTGTGTTTTAAGTCATCACTCTTATTACAGAGAAGTTGCTGCCAAGGAATGCTGCTTAACCTAAATGAGCTGTCCTGTAACGTGTGTGTCTATATATGTATATATGAAGTGTGTGTGTGTATATACACATGCATATGTATTATGATATTTATAAGCATAGTTTGGCATCTGATATCAAATGTACCCTTTTCTCCCTTCCTTTCTAGGGCAGAGCTTATGGCAGAGGAGAAAAAGGAGAAAAGGTAAGATCCAATCCTTCACTGGGTTAAATAAACTACAGACATTTCATGCTTAGCTCGGAGGTTACTTTTGGAGGGTGCAGAATGCAGGAGATGTGATGCAGTTGTATAAAAGCTTCTCACAAAGATCCAATTTTGAGCTGCTTTGCATAGCAGAAATAGTATCCTTTGAGTTCCACTTGTGAATTGGACATGTAAAACTATCAATTTGAAGTCTTTGCTATGGAAGTGATTTCATGGAGGAAAATGAAACAAAGGGAAAGCATGAGTATATTGAATTTTCAATGGGATTAAATTGATCTCCTGAAGAGATTCCTATAATGTTTCATTTCACTGAGTATTTCCATTAGTAACCTAAAGGAGGAAAGGGAGAGTATTTTCCTAGTGCAAATACTAAGCAGAACAGAGAACTAGGTTTGGAAGTTAAAATTAAAGATACAGGCTAATGTTTAAAAACTGCATGATGTTCTATCTTGGAAAAATAAATAGGAAACAAAACACCACTGGACTAACTTGTATTAAAACAGATGTGGTTTTCCAGGTAATTATGGCTGCAAACTCCAACAAACGCTGCAAACTTCAACAAAATGTACCTGCAGAAAAGGAGCAATTTCCTTCTGAAACTACATTGCACTCAATTGCAAACACTTTATTGACAAAATGGGGGAGGGAGAGGAAAACACATGGAAAATATACAACAAAAAAGAAAAAAAAACAGAAGAGCAATAGGAAAAGACTGTTCTTAATTTAGCCCGATAGTTCCTAGAACTTGTCAAAGTATGGATCATACCAGAAACAAGATTAGAAACTTGTAAAGCAGGGTGGTCTGTGGTTACCCAGTTGATCAGCAGTTTTAAAATAATATTTGATTGTAGTGTGAAAGGAAGAATCCTGCACTAACAAGACTGTGGTATTTATGACCATTGTATCTTATTTGTTATTTTCTCTGATTATGATATATGGATTGTATGTGGCAATGAATCATGTGAAATTGCATTCTAAATGAGGATTGCTTATGGCAGAAAATATGTGAGCAGTGCCATAGATGTGGGAGCTGTAAAGAATACTTTTCAGCATCCATCTTTCTGCAGCCCTCCTCCTGACAGTCAGTATTTAGCCTTTGAGACTCAGAATTCAGCCTTTGGAAACGAGCTTGTGTTTGGCAGGTGCTGAAAGTCAGCAGTCTGATGGGAAACATCATATTTACAATAGAGCTGTGCTGCAGCTGAAGTGAATTTTTGCTTTCTTACATTTTGGCCTCTGCAGAAAAGCCGCAGAAAACATAATTCCACCTACCTCATTGCCCTGTCTAGAAAAATAAGTTTAGATTTGGGCATGGAGGAGAAAAAAGAAAACAAACCTACAGATGCTATATATCTGTTGGACTTCTCCATTTGAGCTAGCTGAACAAGATTGTTGGCGGCCCAAATACATGCATAGCCATTAGAGATCCATGAGGTTATGGCTTGTTTTGATTGATTGGGTCTTCTGCCAGCTGAGGCAACATGTGCCCAAGTTCACTGGTGGAGGACACATCAGTACACAGTGAGTGCCCTCTGTGTCTGCCCAATGGTTGAGTTTTCAGTTCTGTTGTTGATGGAGGGTAGAGATATTCCTGCTGTGCAGGACTGGCTTGATAAAATAGGAGCTGGGGAATATATGTATGTGTGATTGCATGTGTAATTTTTTTCCTGGACTCAAAAGGTCCTCTTCAAGGTCTGCCTTTGGCAGTGGAAGGAGCATGTGTCTATGCATCGCAGTGAAGGATTGTGTGTATGTTGGATTAGTGCTACACAAGGGGTGTCTGTGATGGAATAGCTGTTGTGTAGTGGACTGTGAAATTCAGCGAACTGGGTAAAAGTGCTTGTGATGCTAGTTACAGTCTGCACCTCTGGGGAAAAGAGAAAAAAGGAAGAGGAACTATGGAAAAAGAGAAAAGAGGAGATAGGATAGGAGGAACTTCAGACACACAGATGCACCCAAAAGGAGTTGTGCAGTTTCCATTTACATGCCTTCTGCACTGTAATGACCACATGAACATGAATTCTTATTTTTCTCTTTCTATGACAACTTTGTTTCCTGGAGTTTTATGGTTATGGAACATTGGTAGGAAATCAGATTAGAGACACAGGGCTTCAAACAGCCCCAGTCTTTGTGATTCCTTTTTTATGTGTGTGCTGTGGAGTCCTTTGTAAGGACAAGGCTCGCATCCTAAGTATTGATGATCTTGCCATTGAAAAAACTGAGATGGTGAAAATAACTGCCCTCACACAATACTTGGTGAAAGCATGACATGGCAGGTGCTTGGCACTAGCACAGCTGGAAAATGCTGTAATAAGAGGATGATTTTGTGAGGTCTGAGACATTTGTTAGAGGACAAATCCTATTCCTTTCCAAGAGGACAGTGAAGACACTGGCCTTGCTTCTCTAGGCTATTATGTCTATGTTAAAGCTAGAATGATGTTTGTAGATAGGCACAACATGCCAAGCACATCATTAGTGTTGAACCAAAAGATAACAACAGCTGTTGACATGAGGACTTGTATGACTTTTTGAAGATAAGAAAAATCACTGTGATGGCTCAAGCGACAGCCTAGGTATGTCCAGCCATCCCTAAGTATTTCAGTTAAATGAAGGATGCTTGTTATGTCCAGACTAAAGAAATACATACAGATAGATATTGACAGTAACACAGCACCTCTTCAGGAGCTCGTGCAAACTGCTCACAGGTGGGTTTACTTGTTTAGATCTGATTCAATTGCCACTGCTTTGGATTGGATCTTAGTTTCAGCTGTTGAATATCTTCTTTCACCTCCTGCTGTGTCAAGTGTTTACCCCAGTGGCATAAGACAGAGTATTATATTACTATATTACATCACCTCTGTATTGTGTGCTGACTTGTTTTAAATGTATCTGTGTTACCAAACTGCTGATACACATGGGTTAATGTCCAAAGCTGTAACACAGTTACTCTGAAGCACTGCTTGGCTCTGTTTCATAGATTATTTGAAGGGATCTTTGCTAAACCAGATAGGACCCTTCCAGTAGAGGATTATAGCACAAATCTTCAGACCTCTATTTCTCTAAGAGGAGTAGGTGTGCGAGATGAGTGGGGTCAGAAAGAGTAGCTGAAGAGCATTTTGGAGGATGATTCAAGCAAGACAAGGTTTCAATGACTGTTGATCAAAGTCTGAGAAATCATGTTTGACAATGGAGGTTCTGTACACTACGATGGCTGCATTCCTGGGGCACAGCCATCCACATCACAAGTTAGCCTCCCCTTTTGATGCCCCCATGCAGACTTTGCCTTAGAAGCTTTTAAAAAATGTACACCCTATTCTTGCAAGACAGCATTACCTCAGTGATGCTGAGCCATCTTCTTTAATTGTTAGAGACAAGGATAATGAAAAGGTTCTGTGGGTGGGAAGAAGTCTTTCAAAATGGCAACTGGAGGAAATATGATAGAAATCTGTAAGACTTGTTACCCACTTGTAACTCCATGCCACTTCATTTCTTTCATTGTAAGAGCTAAGTGAAAGCATGCAAATTAGCTGATATCATGTTTAAAATGGAAAAAAAGGAAGTTACTGTGCACACAATATATATTCAAACTCCTCTTTACATTATGCTCTGGTGGTTAAAATTTCTGTTTTAAAGTATATACAAATTAAAGAAGACCTGTCAAGTACTATTCTGTGCAAAGACATTATCTTTGCTTGAGAGAGTCACTGAGTTACTTCAAGACTCCTCCACACCCTGAGGAAGCCGTATTGCATACTTGACTTGTTCCATACGCTACTGGCAACTCTTGTAGATAAGCTGCAGGCCAACTGTGCCTTTGGTGTGACTGCTAGTAGCAGTTGTTATGTTCTTAAATATAGTTATTGGTAAATATCCATCACACTTATTGAAGAGAAGGGAGGAATTTTGATGAGGCTGCTTGCCCAAGGAGGAGTGAAATTCTTCTGTGAGATATCTATAAAAAGTCTGTGTTCCACCAGTATGGGGTTGCAGGTTCACTTCCGAAATGACTACAATTGTTCCAGATGCTGCCTCCTGTTTGGTCTCTTCTGGCTCCTCAGCAGAGATGTGCCAGTTGTCAGCACTACTGATAACTCATTCAAGGATGATTTGTGCCACCACTGTCTGTAGCTGTTGAAGAGTCTCTGATTCCTGATGTGCAGAGGAATGAGTTATGAAATGGTTCAGTTAGTCATGTACAGTTGCTGATGGGGGGAACATAGAAGTCAAGGGATTGCTACCGTGATTTTTATTTCTTTCCCATAGAAAGCAACTCTGTAGGGAGTGGAAGACTCCAACAAGGAGCATCCACCCGCTCCTGTAGAGACAAGGAATAAAGATTTCATTCTGCCTTACAGTGCGCTACAGGAGTTCCCTCACTAATGTTTCCAGGAGCAACTGATCTTTCTCTTTGAGCTTTGTGTTTCTCTTCATGCTAATGATCATATAGGCAGCAATGAACATGAAAAATAACTTTAGTAGTTTAATTTTATGTTCTCCTAACAGTGTGTTTTTATGGTAATGACTCTACAACAAAAATGCAAAATTGTTATTATAGAGACCAGGTGACTAAAAGACTGGGTGCAGAAAACCAGGCAGATGGTTAAGGCTATGGGTTAGCAAGACTCTTGCAATCTTACTAAGATTGCAAGAGGTTTAAGCTTAAAGCTGGTCTCTTGAGAGATTTGCTGAATGTGGGAAGTTAACTAGTGTTTGTTCCTATAAAATGAAGATGGAGATGATCTTTTCCTCCCAGGCTTTATCTACCTTGTCTTCCAGATCCTTCAAATTGAGGTTTTGCTTCCCTTGACATTATTTATCTTCCAAACTGGAGATATTGCCATAAATATAGTCTCCAGAAAAGCTGTGAAAATTTACTCTATGAAAGGATACAGCCTATCTACACAGAGCCCTGTGCTCTCTCTCCTTGCTTTGGGACCCTTGAACATAAGGAAAGTCTGGCCTGAAAGCCATGAGGTTTC